ACAAAAGGCATCAGTTCGTAGTATAGTTAGAGCTAAGACCGATGAAGACTGCCGGCAAATATTCAGAACCCTTATCATATATTTTTATTTTTTTAATATATCAGAATTTGATGCATGTGAGGCAAGATTTGTATGATTACTGTCTGCGTTACAATGTATATGCTTGTAATTGTAACTTATATGTGTATGCGTTGTATTTTCTCTGAATTACATCTGTTTTTTATAATTATTTATCTATTCTTTATTGTCTTAAGGCTTTGATTCACCCAAAATGTCATTGTACATTTCCTGGCTCAATAATTATCTATCTATCTATCTATCTAGTCTATCTATACTAAGTGACATATAAATCCGAACACCCAGTTTAACTGGTTTTATTTTAATAAAATTTTGTATAAGTACTTAATGAAGCATAATAAGTAAATGATAAAAATTTCAAAATGATTGCACTGCTTTAAAGCCCTTTGACCTTTAATAATGTGTGGATGCACCCTGATGTGATACGCATTCTCCAACGCGCCTAGGCATGCTTCTGATCAGGTGGTCAATGTCCTCCTGTGGTATCTCATTCCAGGCAACCACCAACTCCTCTCGAAGTGCTTCTAGAGTCTGAGGAGGACGTTGCAAATTGAGCAATCTCCTACCCATCATATCCCACACGTACTGAATTGGGGATAAGTCGGGAGATCTTGGTGGCCATTGTGACAATGTGACATTATTATGTTGAAAGAAGTCTATTGTGACTCTTGCAGCATGTGGTCGGGCATTATCTTGGTGGAAAGTTGGATCTGCCAGGGTGTCAAGATAGGGTAAAAGATGGGGTTCTAGAACTTCGTCGATATAACGCTGCGCGTTCATGTTACCTCTGATGAAGATTAAAGGTGACCTGGAACCATAAGCTATAGCACCCCAAACCATAACTCCAACAGTGTGATGAACATGTCTTTCAACAAAAAACTGTAGATTCCTCCTTTCACCACGTCGCCTTCAACCCTGGCACGACCATCGTGCATGCCTAAACAAAATCGAGACTCGTCACTAAAGACAATACTGTGTAAAGGGAGGACCCAGTGTGGCCGGTATGAAAACAAGCCAAAACTTCTCATTCGTCGGTAAACACTTCGCATGCCAATAGGTCTTCCGTGTTCTGCAAACCATTCATTTGCAATGGACCTGGTAGTGGAGAAACGGTCCCTTAAGGCCAATAATCTTAGGCGGCGATCTTCATGGTCTGTTGTTCTACGGCGGCGTCCAGTGCCCCTTGCTCTTTGCGTACGGCCTTCTCGAAGCCATGCCTGACAACACCTAACCACAGTGTCTACACTTCTTTGCACTCTAACTGCAAATGCCCGAAAAGAAAGTCCACCTTCCCGAAGTCCCACTATACGGCCCCTATCAAGCTCACTAAGTTGACGAAATGGTACAGGTCTCCGTACTCTAGGCATCGTAACCGATCGTAAAGGATGTCAAGAACCAAAATCCGCCAACGTTGATTTTTTACTGCGGCTGAAATATTCATTTTTAGAGCGTTAGTGAATAAAAAAAGCAGTATAAAAACCGGAATGTCCAACTGATAAGGCTGAACATTTTTTCACTTGTTATTTACAGTAAGATAAATACATTCACCAACTTTTATTAAAATAAAACCATTTAAACTGGGTATTCGGATTTACATGTCACTTAGTATATTTAAAAGAGAAGCTGTAAAATAGCATATTACAATTATTTTCTCAAACATGGTCGATTTTCAGCTTGACCTGTTCTATAACTTCACATCAGGCCAGCATGACCATTCCTTTGTTGAAAAGCCACGTGGAGTGAGAATGATTGTCAACCTTCAGAAGGTCCTTGACCTATAGAAACTAACCTATAACCTGCCAATACTTTTCTGCACGGAGCGGTGCTAAGCGAGAAGTAATTCTCAAAGGGGATGGATGTTGAATAATTTCACAGCATTGGTGATACTGGATCGAATACTCATTAGCGACCGGAGAACCGAGGAACTTTTAATTTGAATATATTGGAAACGAAAAACGATTTACTTTGCTAATGAAATAACTCGCCGAACTTTATTATCGAATCTTTAAAAAGTTCGTCAGGTTCGTGTTGAAATTTATGGCTCGATCGCCTTAAAATAAAGTTTGCGCAAGAATAGATTCTTTTTAGGCAGAAAGTGCATGAAAAGGTAGAAAATGTTGGAACAGGGTAACGGGCTACTGCTCAGTTTAGTTTCAGATCAAACAAGTACGAAAGTTGTTCCATTTTGGGTAGTGTGAGTCAAGTTCAATATATACAATCTTCTGGATATATACATAACGTAGTCAATAAATGGTATGGTATGATGTCCCCTTATTTCTTGAATATGAGTATGTCTAGGTCAATCACCAAAATGAAAATAATGCATCTGTGACAGAAAAATTGGCGGATAGCTACTTTAGTACCTAGGTAGATAAGCACAGAAACTAGACTCTTTGTTATAAGCAAAAATTCTTGGTTTCGACTTACCTCGAATAATTTTACAACAATACGAGCAGCTCAAGCAGCTTTTTATACCGATAGCAGTCGGGTACACAGAAGCCTAAATATTGGGGCAACGCAGATGCTATAAGGTGCTTAAAGACCCTTCTTTAATCCGATTTTTGAACTGCCCAGGGTCAGTAGAACTGAGACAAATCTGCTTATGCAAATTGATTCACAACCTCGACATCGAGGTCAAAGGAGCGGTCATAAAGGTTCGATACGATTAGGAGGCCAAAGTCGGGTGGGTCTGTCTGGCATTCACATCGCGCGGCAGCATCATGGAGAAGAGTTTTGGGGAGCAAAGACATTTAACATATCCGTAGAAGAAAACCAGATCGCTGACGGCCCTTAACAGTGGTCAATATATTTGAAAACCTGGCAAAAATTGTAAGAACATAGTTTCATAACATACCATATCATTTACTGACCAGATTATATATATATATATATATATATATATATATATATTCATGATTAAATTGCCTTAACTGGTTAGGAGAAAGTATCTTTGAGTTTCCTTGGGGCGAAGTCAAAGTTTTGCACAAGTCCACTCTTTTAACTTAAACTCAATCTTTCGATGGTCTATGCCATTATCATCGGAAGCTAAAAACAGTATTTTGGAAAGTAGCAACAATTAGCAATTAAGAGAAGTATTATTACTTACAAAGTCGGCGAGATTGCTGCTGAAATTGTTCTTAGACGAAAGTAGAAGAGAACACATAGTCAACGAACAAAAAACTGGATTGTTGAGGGTAAATTAGGAAGAATTCTTTATTATTACTTATCAGTAAAACCATAGCGATGATTTTTTTAAATCATTAACAGATTTAGAAAAAGATTTATTAATTATAGAAAATTCTTTCAAAAGTTCATCTTTGTTTTTTGTTCTATCCTACTTTCGTCTAAGAACAATTAGAGAACAACAAAATTCAGCTCTGTGTATCAGACGTTGACGGATAGGGCAGAACCAGGAGGTGTAAGCAGTATACAAAGACGTGTACCCTGCTTTGATATCTGATGACTGAGTCGAACACTAATGTCTATAGCTAATACTTATCAGCCTAGATGGCGCAGCATAATTTTTTTCAAATACTTGTAAAAAGGAATGTTCAAGACGCACTGTCAGCGAGAAGTAATTTGATTTAAACTTGAAATAGTACCCAGGTAATTAAGAGAAGGAATTAGCAGTACAAAGCGAGAGTAAAATTCTTACTACTTATCGGCCTTTTTTCCTCATAATTCTTTAACATTTCGGATTAAGTGAGCTCAAAAAAAAATCACAATTGGTTAGCAATCTCGGGCACTAAGTACGACAGTATACTTTTAACACTATTCGCACTGCGCCAGAGGTGTTTTCGAAAAAGTCAGAGAGTCTTTGTGGTGTAGAGCACGGGCTTGTGTTGAATCCAGAGGTGGTCACTTTCACCACCTTCTTTAGGTTAAATCTTATAAAATTTGTTCAGCATTATTTTTGGTCCCTAATGTTGTAAATTTAGAAATAATCACGCAAGCTGTATCCAATTCAATGCCTCTGGTTGTCCTGTTTGATTTTTCAGCTTTATTTATCTATTTTTGAGATAAACGTGTTCTTTGTTTTAAGTTTTCTGTCTATAAACAAAAATGGCGACGATACCAGTGGCACTCGCAGGACCGGCTTCACATGCCACATAGTGTTTTCAATAACAAACTTCACGGTGTTTGCAGAGTAGGGGAGGCTAAACCTTTTGAGTATTTCAGGATTTCACCTCACATAGTCACAGCTAAATATCTCCAAAACGAGTGATCTGGCAAAAAATCCGTAGAAGACAAAACTTATGGAAAATTGAATGGTACTTTATAAAATGCACTTCTTTTATCCGAAAAGGCCAGATGCGTAGGAAATTCCCTTTAGGTGTAGAAGTACCCTCTCTGTGTGTTTGTTGCTCATGATGTGCGCACTCATCGTCTAAAATCCTAGCTCAGTACCTTTACCCGCTCGGCATATATAATTTTTTTTAGATTTCGTTAATAAAACTTCACCACCCTATATTTCGGTAGGGGAACATCTCTAGACCAATATTTACAGGACCTTCTTTTTTTATTTTTGGATGTACCTCCTACCCAACGTCGACTTTCTGAGACACCCTATGTGCTTTATACTTTTAGTTTGCGTTTCATAGATGACGCTGGAATATCCAATCCACCAAAAATGCCAAAATGTTTTACTCTGCTGTCTAAATTACCTCCATATTAGTCCACCTGCCTAAAATATTCACTTCAGGTTCATGTTAGAAGGGAATAAACGTTGTGAGGCCTTGGCATACACCGCGTTTTATTTTTTTTTGTGTGTACCTGTGGATCATGCTTATGCATTTTATCTAGAATTTATCCAACGGCCCCCAATTTTGACTGAAGCTTCATATTCAGCGTAAAAAAATACATTCGAAAAACGTGATCCATCACAAATCACTTCTTTACTTTGTCAGCCTGTGCAATAATGATAAGATTTCAAATAGCACACTTTAATAAACTATATAAAGTATCCTAACAAAACCAAAACAACAAATCAAATTTGTAATAAGATGGCCACTCCTGCCAATGTCCATTTCAGAGCCTTCTCTTTTGTCTTCAAGTTGAACGTCCACACAAAAGTTGGACCTCGCATTCTGGTTTTGTACACTGGGCAATCGTACATGTTCCTCAGGTCTTGCTTATCCTGGGTTATGGCTTTGATAAATATTACCGGCACTACTGGGAATAGTTCTTTCAATTTTGAATCGGCTATACTGTTAAGCTGGATATCCCATCTGGAAATAATGAAAAAGACACATATGAAAAGTGATATACAATCAATGAAAAAATGGTGTGATAACAATTATCTAATCTTCAATGTTAGTAAGACCTTTATGACATTTAAATAGTCCCTTGATTTTAAAATTTTAAATATTCTCCTGTAATAAGTGAGTTGTGAGATTTGAATCTGTAACACTTTTAGGAATAATACCCGATGCCAGACTAAGCTGGACATCCCACATAGATTATTTATATTCTAAGCAGATACCTCGATAACCATACTTTGCGGGTAGTGTATTTCAACATGTTCCATGGTCACATTACATATGGCACAATGCTCTGGGGAATCTCAGTAGCATCTAGCAAAAGTTCAATTTATAAAAAACGGCTTTGCGGATATTTACAAATTCCAGTAATGGATCCTGTTCCCAAAAGGACATCCAGTCCCCCAAGCGACAAGCGAGCATGTAGTCATCTATTGTTTTGAATGGACCGTAAATGTCATTCTCGCCCATTCTTCCGAAAATGCCAGAAGCTTCCGAAAATGCGGAAACCCACACAGAAGAACTCTTGCCGCAACACACTGGTCAAGTATGCAATATTCCAGTACTGGTGCTTCATGTGCATTATTCATAGGGTACTATGAACATGAAAACCACATGATAAGTTTCGTAGTTACGTTGCAAAACATTTCTTGAGATTGAAAATTATTATTCAATATGACCGATATAGATATAGACGAATTACATTCACAATTAAATAACGACGCTTTAAATTAAACTAACCGGGATCTTTAGAAAAATGTTTGGACTTTAATTTAGACATTTGGCAACTTCAAAACTAGTTTTTATCTAAGTTTTTGAAGCAATGATATTGGCTATTTTCAGGGTTTTTTTTTTTGACGGCGTCAACTTCTATGGTTATTAGCCGTATTCAATAATATATAAATCTTTAGTATAAAATATACATAGTCGTGCCATAAGTTCTGTCCCATGATAATCTCATGATAAAAATGAAACAAGATAAGATATATTTATATGAAAGATATTATTTATTCGACAACATTTTTAGAATTCATAATCAAACAGTTTTATTCAAAATGTCCCCCCTTGGCCTTCACACACTGCTTCAATCTCGCGGGCCACTCATCTATCACTGCACGCACAGCTTCCAAAGGAATAGCTGCCGCTGATCGGATCAAATCCGCTTTCAGGGACTCGATATTACGGTGGGCTTTGGAGCAGGCCAACTGCTCTAGCAGGTCCCACAACTTGTAGTCTAAAGGATTGAGGTCCGGACTCCCTGAGGGCCAATCTTCCGCAGCAATGAACTCTGGCACATTGCTTTCCAGCCAGCGCTGCGTACTCTTAGCCTTGTGAGCGGGGGCGGAATCCTGCTGGTAGACCCAGTGTTGGTTGGCAAACAATGTACCACTTAAAGGCTTGACGATAGGATCCAGTATGTCGCTCTGATAGTTTGCCGCTTTTGTTTTCACGCCCTGTTTACAGAAATGGAGCTGAGTGACCCCTTCGTAGGACACCCCCCACCAAACCATGACTGACGCAGGGTGGTGGCCTCTCTCAACTCTCGGAATGATCTCCGAAGCTTCCTGTGAACTCCTTGCATACACTTTGTCATTTTGTCGGTTGAATTTTTCTTCTATGGTGAAGATTTTCTCATCCGTGAACAAAATCTTTCGGAATCCCCCAGCTGCGTACCTCTCCAAGAGCTTCTTGGATCTTGTCGCCCTGATGTGTCGCAAGGTGGCCGTAAGTCGCTGGCCCGTACGTCTCCGGTAAGCCCCTAGCCCTAGGTCTTGTTTAATGATGCGCGACATCGTCCGGACAGGAATCTTCATTTCCCTGGATAGGATCTTCTGCTTCCGGAGTGGATTCCTTTGAATCCTGGCTTTTACGGCTTTGATGGCTGCTGGAGTCCTTACTTGACGAGGTCTTCCGCTTCTTGGCCTGTCATCAACAGAGGACGTCTCATTGTACCGCTGAATGGTCCTAGACACAAATTTACGCGATATTTGAAGGCCGCGTAAGAGTTCAAAAATCTGACTAGCACTGTGATTACACTTATGTAAAGCTATCACTGCAATACGGTTCTCTGCCTTGCCCCACTCCATCGTTATGCTTCGAGAGATCAATACAAACTGAGGTATATGTAATTACCCGAAAAGCGCTTAATCAACTGACACCACAATGTAAACAATCGGACAAGTATTAACAGGTCTACACTTGTTTGAAAACGAGGGACAGAACTTATGGCATGACTACGTATAATCTCTTAAACATGTCTAAGTGGTAAATGTCGCATTTTAAAAAAAATATATGCAAATTCCAGATATTAATCGAAAAGGATATACTATTGTCATTTACTTTCAGATTCTATTAGCAACAAAAGATAATCTCTGGGAAATGTTACACGACCAAATTTGTCAGGCATATATTCATTAATATTAATTTTTTTTTTATGGTCATCTGCATTTCACGATCTTGTTTGCGTTCACGTAAGTATTTTTGGATTTATACAAATTCTATTGCTAAATATTTCTTTCAGTTCCAGATGACAACACTAAGATAAGGTAGGTATGATGCAAAATCATCGTTACATAAGATTTATTTAATCTCAGTTGAGAATAAGATACACAAAAATTAGAATGGTTCATTTCCAAAAAGTTCATTAGGTCAGATCTTCCAATAGAAACCAGATACTTTTAAGAATGATATGACGTTTTTCAGTTTTTCTGGTTGTGTGAGACTGTCTGTCAGGTTATCAAACGGTCCATAGATCACTCGATACTGGGACAATATCGGACATGTGCAGATAATGTGGCGTACAGTGAGTGAAAAGTTACATCCAGTGCACAAGGGCGGATCTGTTCCGAGCAAAAGATGTGCATGTGTAAGACGTGTGTGGCCAAAGCGTAAGCGATGTATGCGCACCCATTCCTCTCGTGGCAGTCTGATAGGATGTGGCCATGACCCTACACTGGGTTTTGTCTGTCTTAAGTGGGTATCAGTGTTACCCCATGTAATTTGCCAGTGTCGCTGTCTACGGTTTATGAGGTAGTTTGTATGATCAGACATTTTTATTTCAGGGATGCCGATGTTTTGTTGCGCTGCTGCTGCTTTCGCTGCCATATCAGCAGCTTCATTCCCCTGTATACCAACGTGTAATGGCATCCACTTAAATTTTGCGTTGACCCCTTTATTTAAGAGATGTTTGACAGTTTCAAGACACATCACAGTTAAGGAATCTCGAGATGCATAGTTCATTCGGCCTTGAAGTGCTGAAAGCGAGTCACTAGCTGTAATAGCTGTTGTTATGTTATTCGACATGTCACAATATCGTAGGGCCTGCCAAATAGCATATTGTTCAGCAGTAAATATGGATGCTATTGGTGATAGCGTCCATTGATGTCCAGTTTGATCGACTTCCATAAAACGTGATTTTATGAGTTCAGATGGATGGTCATTCTTAGATAGTGCAGTCAGCTCGAGATTCACATTTATTTTGGGTGACAGCCATGGAGGAGATTCTCTGTATTTAACATTATAGATAGGGTTACATGATATACCAATTTCCTCAGCATATTCTTTAACTCGGACTCTGAGAGGTCTTGTTATTGTGGGGCGACAGATGTAGCTCTCATCCGTACTGAAAATGATAGAAAAGTTTCTATGGAATGGTCGTGTTTGAATCTGTGCAGAATACGATAGTGCAAGTTTTTTACGTCTAATGGATAGAGGTTCAACTCCGGATTCGCAATAGAGGCTAGCTGCTGGAGTTGTACGAAATGCTCCAAGGCAGAGACGTAATCCTTGGTTGTGAACTGTATCAAGTTTTTTAAGCAGTGACGGTCTTGCAGATGAGTAAACAATGCTACCGTAGTCAAGCTTAGATAGAATTATGCTCTTGTATATCCGCAACAGCATCTCAGCTTCTGCTCCAAATCGTGTTGACGACAGGCATTTTATTAGGTTCAGGGCTCTCTTGCACCTGTTGGTAAGATCCTCAATGTGTTCTCTCCATGTCAGTTTACTGTCGAGTGTTAGGCCTAGGAATTTTACAGAAGACACACAGGGTATGCGTTCATTGTTGAGACAGAGGCGTGGAGCATATACACATCGTTCCAAATATCCAGCTCATGTTCAGTGAGCTACTATTTCTGAGAAATTGTCATTCAAACAGGTTCATGGTCCATAAACATTCTTTCCCTTTCCTGCCGGAAGTGCATAATATGGAAACGTTGCCCCTCCCCGATACCTAACTCAAGCAGACGTGGCACTGTGGTAGCACGGTCAAAGCATAAAAAACACTTTGCTGTTGCGCGGCAGAAATACGTGTTATTCCATACCGTAACACTCATCACGATCGGCGCACGATGTCAGCAAGATCCGCGGCCGACAGGCATGTGATCCGTCTACCGAGGGTGTTTTATGTACCGAGAAATATATCATTATGTAAAATATGTCTAACAGGTGCGTAGAATTACTAATGTTGAAAGCGTATAAATGTACCAGCATCTAGAATTGAGATAAATCTCTCCACCCGCTTACAACAGTAGGGATGGGAAGAAAAATATTATATACGTATAAAATTTAAAAATGTTTTTCTCGTTATTGTTCGTCATTTTTTAAAAATAAGGTGATATAATTTATTTTTAATTCCACACTGGTTTTTCTTTATTTTGCCACCATTTGGCACTTGGCTCTCAACGGTTGCCGACCGCTGCTAATACGTAATTTTCCTTCGGTCAACCCAATTCAATTTGTTCCTCATAGAAGTAGATCTGTGATGGGTTACGACAAATCCAGTCTCAATGTTGCGAGCGTATAAATGTTCCAGCATCAAAAAATTTAGATAAGCCCTCCCCACCCACTTACAACACTCACCTGAAGGTTTCCTTACCTTTAAAATTTTTTTGATAAGTGATGAAGATCCTCTGTAACGTCAAAAAACTACCTTGGACCGATTTTTACTTTTTTCATTTAACGGGGCTCCTACAATCACGAGCACCATCTGCTGAGGTAACGGGGGGGTGAAAAGGAAACGATTGTGGGCTGGTCTTGTTCGGTGGTCGGCGCTACTTTAAAAGGGAAAAGGATGACTGCGGGTGCATACCCAGGTAAATTTTAATAATAACAGAGTCGGATTTCGATTAGCGACCTAGCCTGTAAATCGTTTCCTATTTTGGTACTCAGCTAGTGATCATGTGGTATTGTTCTACCCTTGTTACTGTTCGTCGATATTGTGTTGTTGAATTGTTGTGTTGTACTCTTGTTGGTGTGATTGTTCTTGAGTGAATTTTTTATCAAGGTTGATAATGAACAATAAAAGGTCATATGCGACAATTTTAATTACGAATTCACTGAGTTTAATTCATGATGAGGACAACAATAGTGTGGAGCAGTTCAACTCTATAATCGCAAAATACATTGGGGTAAGCGAATAAATTATTGCAAGAAGAGGTCATACCATGGAAGATGTGCTGCAGCCGTAGTGAGCCACAATACCGAGCGGCCTGTCTATGTGGTCCAAATACATTTACGTTCTAGGCTTAGTCTAACCTCGCTCATCACTAAAATGGAACAAAGACTCAAACGCAAGAATCTTGGAAAGAAACTCAGACCAAAAAAAATTGATATAAAAACTAACAGTTCGGGTAGCAATTCAAAAGAAAATATATACATAATAGTTTTATGACGAATTCTGCCAAAAACTTGACATGAACGACATTGATTTGGAGGTTGCTAAGCAAGAATTTTTAGGGAAACTTAGAGAAAGTGACGACGAGATTTTGCATATCGAACAGGACTGTGCTTCGTGGCGTCTTCATTGGAGGATAAGGTTGATAGCATCTCGATTTGGTGAAGTTTGTAGAAGAAGGCAGACAACAAGCTGTAAAGTTCTAGTAATCTCGATCATATATCCAACAGAGTTTTCTAGTAAGGCAATAAAAAAGCCAATACAAAAATCATTGGACACGGCAGTTCAATCTTGTGGTTTGCAAAAACTACCTAACTGTTTCCTCTTATTTTGACGGCATAAGATATTTTTATGACCCTCGTTCAATTTTTACCATCTACCACACGATCCTTGTAAACATAATTGTGTTTATTGACATGAATAAACGAATTAGAATTTGAGTTCTTGAATTTATTTTAGGAAAGATCTGAGATTATTTGAATACATTTTTACTTAGTCGGAACCCACCGTCGCGTTGCTTGGACTGGCAGGACGAAATAGATGAATTTCGCCCAAACACCGATTTGCACTTCACAGCTTACTTTTTATTATTTCCAAATGAAACTCTTGCAGCGTGCTAAAAACAAAGAACCACAGGGTGCCAGTGATTCACTTTTTCGATTTTATCCACACTTTTTAAAATATCAACAAGTTGAGCACAAATTTCAACCCACCATAATTCTTTCGCAAAGACAAAATTTTGTAAAAAGCTCTGATAGCACCCTAGGCAATTATGGCCTGCTTATATCCAGAAAAACATCACGAACTGCAGAATACAAAAGGTAACGGCGAAATGGGTACATTTCACGGGTTATGAAATTCAAATGAAGATGCAGGTATAAAATCTACCAAATGATCGTTCTCAAAAACATATTTCCTTGACATATCGATAATTTTAAAGTTCCACGCTAAATTCCCCTATACTCGACTGGAGCGATATCCGAATTTATTCTTCCCTAGTGTCGGTAGTTGCAGATCTGTTGGCTGTTGGTGTCAAACCTATAGAGCAGGTACCGATTTTTTGAAATCGTGAGCATATTATTCGTCGGATTTTCGATACTTAAATTTCCTGTAATCACTGCGATCAGAAGCTTAGTCATAGAACGTATTTCACTGATTTCAACCCGCCCTTTTTAAGCAGTAACATTTTTTATGTCAATGATTAGGACCCTTTTTTTATATTCCAACTACCACGAAGGCCTAAGGCCTAAGCACCCATTGGGTACCGTGGGGCTATGGGGGATACATGGGAAAGGGGGGATGCCACACGGACTCTGGCGAGGGAACACGTGTGCATGCAACATGCACACATTCTGGCTCCGCCTACGAGAACCGCCGGGTGGTACCTCCGCGTTCGACAGTCGGAGACCATCTACCACCTACAGACAATCACAACATCCATATCCAAGAGAAAAATTTATCCTGGGACGGGACTCGAACCCGCATCAGGAGACCGAACAGTCTACTACTGCGGCTACCGCTGCTGCCTAACGTCAAAAACGGAGTTTCAGCAATTGTTACTTTTTCTTCTTTGCCTATAGCACCGTTGCTACTGGACTAAAACTACAAAGCTTTGGCGTACTAGTAACCGCGTGTGGAAATTTCATAAAAATCCGAGCGGTAATTTCCAAGTTGATGATGAGTGATACAGTTTTTCGTGATGTAGATGTCATATGACTTAAAAAAGCATAACATCTCATTTTAGAAATTTTTCGCGATTACAATACTTCCTCGCCAGTGACGTGGGAAGTAAAACGGCTTTAAAATCGAGGAGTATCAGCGATCGCGATTATGAGTACCTATTTGCAGAACGACTTATCTACGCGATATTGTATGAAATAGGGCCACCAAATTATCTGAATACTTCCTTTCCTAGTCCGTACATTGCGCCGCAACGCTTGGTTTGGCAGCACGAAACAGTAGACAAAATTCGTCCAAAATACGATTTGTAGAGGTTTGCGCGCTTCAAAATTGACGCTTTTTTTTATATTTTGGATGAAATTTTCAGAGTGCTGAAAACAAAACCCCACAGGGTGCTATAGAGCCACTTTTTCATTTTGTCACTAGGTTCTTTTTAAAAAAATCGCGAAGTTGATCAGAAAAAGTGCGCACTTCAACCCATCATAAAACTTGTGCAAAAACAAAATTTCAAAAAGTGCTCCTATAGCACCCTGGGCATACATACTGTATGAATTTCATTCAAAAATATTGAAAAATGGAGTGTCAGTTTTGAAGCAGCTGAACCCTGAAATGGCTTGAAACTTACTGCGTCGGAGCCGCCTTAAGGCCTTTTGCTCTATCGTCGCGACCGATTTTCAAAAACTACAAAGCAGACCGGCAGCACGACAGACTGACAGGCAGACAGACAGACCGACAGAAATGAGTGACATGTTTTTTTTGTGATGTGCATGTCATATAACCATTAAAAATTAGGTATATCTCATTTTAGAATTTTTTTGGGATTTGCAAAAAAACCTGAAGATCCACCCTACGGTTTAACGTAAACAAGAGAGGCGCATATATTTAGTAAATGATAATCGTAAATAAGGTAAAACATCTTCTCTGCGGCTGTATATTTCTCACCGTAATCTTTACGGTTCATGTTTTTTGATGATTTTTTACCTCCTACGCCACTGGCGAGGAAGTATTGTATTCCCGAAAGTGAGATGTGAAGGTCACTCATTTTCGTCGGTCTGTCCGCTAATCTTTGGACCAGCAATAGCTTGAAAGCTACTGCTCAAATTTTAATGGAACTTTTACACAGTGTTACTACTATACAAAGGCCGATTTTAAAATCGGTCCGGTCGCGGCGGAGCTAAGAGAAAAAGCTAAGAAAATAAAAATCACTCAAACTTCGTTTATTTACGTTTCAGTTGCTCCGATGGGAATATTACGTAACTTGAAATGTGACGTTGTGTTGTTTTCTTGACATTATGTAGGTTATTTATATCATTATGTAGATTTTTCGACAAAAGGTCAGGCAGGCGCGGAACGAATTTATTTGCACAAAACCTTATCTAGTCAACAAGTTGACATTTTATCGGTTTTTTTTTAATTATATAGACATTTACATAATATGATCATTTTCAGAAAAACATTTGTCGGGGCTGAAAATTGCGGGTGGAAATTGTACCTAATTTTTTTGATAATATTGTGTATTGATACACTTCGACCCCGATAACTCTACGCACCTATTAGTACATATAGGTATCATACGTAATGGATTTCCCCGTAAAACTTAGAATGATACAGAAGTACTTTCTACAGGCTTCTCTCTCTGGGTTGACTAGCGTCGAAGTTTTCTCCACGAGTTTCATGCTGTCACTGCCACATTGCCGAGTCTGACGAGTAGATTGTTCGAGCGGTGAGGTATGGGGGAAAGCGCGACGTTGCCAGATAGACGGTGCAAGATAACTATGGACTAACTTTTTTTAGAAGATCTATCTTGTGCCGAACATAATCCTTTACAAAATGGGTTGCGTAGGACCTGCAGAGTCAATCTACTTAACGTCATTTTTTTAATCCTAGCAGTCACCCGTTCATAATAGGTAAGCAAGTATTGCGCATGTGTACCAATAAGCGAGAGAGGCCGTTTAGGCAACGAATAACTGTATGAGAAGTTGTTAATAATAGCTCTTAAATTTATGTATTCTAGCAAAAATGCCACGGTAGATCGGGAAGTATGTATGTACATGAAATGGTGAATAGTGAGCAACTTAAAAAGAACGTTCAAAAATGTGTGTTTAGTCACCATGTTTTCGCTTAGACGTACAACAGATGTAGTGAATGAGATTACGAGTATGTTACCTTGCACCTTCCATGTAAAGTCCATGCACATAAGCACCCTCTCTCGGTGCAGAATTAAACTCATCCTTCTGTTTTTTCGTCACGTCTGTCATCAAACACATCTTGTCCAATGGCCACTCGTTCTTCCTGGCAGTTTGCTGCATAATGGCGGTAAGAAATGATTGAGGGTTGAAAAATCCACCTAGCCATACCGCTGGCGGCATCGAGAAATCTGTCGTCCATCCTACAACATGAAGCTTGAGTCAGATGGACAAAGCACGCAAATTCAAATAATAGAGCCTGCTTTGGCCATTCTTTAATTATCTGTGATGTTAGTTTTCTAACGATAACCGAGACAACAAAACAAGGTAAATCAGAGGAATAGGAGATATCGGCGGCTCTAAAGTAAGCTATCTTTTCCCTTGTTTTTTGCGACCTTTTGCTGGTTTAATCTCTCTTTAACCAAATATCTCAAAATAAAAAGCGGTTACCATAACCCAGATGGTAAGTCCCTAAACTACGTATGTAGTATGTAGTATGTAGTATGTTTGAAAAGGCAATTTGATTTTGTATTGAGTTGTTGACGGAGACACAGTCGATAATTCAATTATCGTGATATTTATCTCAGGCTATTTATTTTAAGGGACAAAGCTTTATGTACTCGTAAGTTATATATATATATATATATATATATATATATATATATATATTTCTTCATAACTGGTTTGGTTTTTGAGAAATTTGGGCATGCAAAGTCCAGTATCAAAAGAAGGCGGAAGTGAACCTAAAAATCAGCAATGAATATGTTTTTTATGTTGTGAAAAATAGTAATCATAATTATTCACATTAATTATAATATATATATATACAGGGTGGCCCATCCATGTGTGGACGGAATATTACTCTTAAACAAATACATTTTGGGATAATCTATTTAGAGAATGTTATACATGACATCATGACATTTGATGGCACATTTCTAAAGTATTGACCATTATACAGGGTGCCCCAATTTTGACCAACATATCAAAGTTATGATTTTTGAAACGAAATGTCTCAAATCTTATTGCATATTTGGATAAACCAATTCGAAATAAGAAAATTGGTACGACGTACTATGAGGTTTTGGCAATTAGCTATTGAGATATAAGATGTTTTGTCTAGAAAAACTCCTCAATTCGGCAACCCCTCAGTCCGACATTTTGAAATTTGGAGTGCTAAATTTTGTAAAAAAAAAGACTTACACACCTGAGCTTTTATCTTATTTCTTACTTTTTTTTAATTTGAATTTTTGATCATACAGGGTGGTTTTTTTATGTAAATTTCAGCACTCCAAATTTCATAGTGGCAGATTGAGGGGTTGCCGAAGTGAACAGTTTTTATGGACAAAACACCTTACATCTCAATAGCTACTTACCGAAACCCCACAGTATGTAATATCAGTATTCTTCTTTTGGATTGGTTTATCCAAATATGCAATAAAATTTGAGGCATTCTATTTAAAAAACCACTACTTTGATATGTAGGTCAACATTGGGATACCCTGTATAATAGCCAATATTTTATAAATGTGCCCTTAAAAGTCATGTATAACATTCCATAAATAGATTTTTCTAAAATGTATTTGTTTATGAGTAATATTCCGGCCACAAATGGACGGGCCAGTCTGTATATACAGGGTGACTTCGAAGTTGAGTCATTTATTTTAACAGTGAGTAGATCTGATCAAAAGAAATGTTTTTTTCCTTTACCATTTTTCTGGTAAAATTAAAGTAACAAAGTTATAGCCCTTTGGAAGTTTGAGTACCGCCCTGTCTCAATAATGATATTATGTTCTCGTGTTTGGCAACAACAGATATAATCCGCCTTATCCGTTCATCGCATCGGAAACAAAAAAGCGAAAGAATTTGGAACGATCTTTTTACAATTATTTTCTTCAGTTGTATACAGTCAGTATCAGTCGGTAGTCGGTAACGCGGAAGTGAATAATCGTCTCTGTTGCGAGGCTCAAATCAAAAATGGCACATGTTTACGAAAATGCTGAACTTGTGGACATGGTTCTTATTTACGGGGAGTCTTTACAAAATGCTGCCGCGGCATCACGGATCTATGCGGATCGGTTTCCCAATCGAGTGCAACCAACTCCTCGTGCCTTTGTTAATGTAGTGCAAAGAGCTCGTGAATCAGGTGACTTAAGACCTCACAGAGGAGATCATGCCGATGCTCCAAGACCACACGATCAAATAGAACTAGAAGAACAAATTTTAGAATTAGTAAGTGATGATCCAACAGTAAGCACCCGACAAATTTCAACTCAATTGGCGATTAGTCAGTATAAAACTTGGAAAACTCTACGTGAAAATCAGTTCTATCCGTTTCACATACAAAAAGTGCAGGCCTTACAACCGGAAGATCATGAACAAAGGGTTGACTTTTGCAATTGGCTTTTAAATAAACATCAAAATGATGACAATTTTTTAAATCAAATTTTAGTGAGTGATGAAGCCCTCTTTACTAGAAACGGAATTATTAATTCACGTAATTCTCACGTTTGGGCTATTGAAAATCCCCATGAAATAAGGGAAACCAATTTTCAACAACGATTTGAACCAATCAACCTGTGGGCGGGAATTGTTAATGGAATTTTAGTGGGGCCTTTTGAATTACCAAATCGCTTAACTGGTGAAAATTATTTTGATTTCTTGCAACACAATTTGCCTGGTTTACTGGAAGATGTGCATTTAAATATTAGACAAAACATGTGGTTTTTACAAGATGGGGCACCACCCCATTATGCAAGAAATGTGCGTGAATTTTTAAATAGACAATTTGATAATCGTTGGATCGGCCGTGGCGGTTTTGTACCTTGGCCGCCAAGGTCTCCGGACTTAAATCCTTTAGACTTTTGTTTGTGGGGTTGGCTAAAAACTCTAGTGTATAAAACACCGGTTAATACACGCGAAGAATTACGTGCTCGAATTGAGGAAATGAGTACAGTGATCAGAAATCAACCAGTGATTTTATTGCGTGCTTGTAAAGAGACATGGCTAAGACGCGCCCAGCTGTGCGTCGAGCAAAACGGAAATCATTTCGAACAGTTTTTGTGACATGCTTTTGGGCGCACAGGTCCGCACTGAAATACTTGTCGGGAGGATACTTTATAAAACAAGGTAACATTTTTTTTTTAATTTTTTTTTATTTTTACACACATATTTTGGTTTATCTTCCTTCTACAATCATTATCTGAAAATTAATGACTCAACTTCAAAGTCACCCTGTATATATATACAGGGTGTTCCATAATTATTGCGACAAAATGATAGGGGTTGTAGAGGGCATCAAAATGAACAATTTTTCCTTATAAACCCCTGTTCGGAAATATGCCGTTTGGGCTGCAGCAAAAAAAAAAGATCAGTTTCTTGAAACAGCTTACCTACAGTAATTGCTCAAAGTGTCCTCCACCTTGCTCAATACACAGCTGTGCACGATTGTTCAATGATCGGCGAACTCTGTGGCATACCCCCGGTATGTCCTGAACATGTGCGGACGCGGCCATCACTCTTCCCAGTAGCTCTTGTTGGTTGGGAACAGGAGTTTCGTACACTAAAGCTTTCAGATAGCTCCAGATAAAATAATCCAGTGTGGTCAAGTCAAGTGACCGCGCAGGCCAAGGCACAGGGCCACCTCGGCCTATCCACCTATTTGGAAATTTGTCGTCCAAATACTGCCGCACTTGTAAAGAAAAGTGGGCTGGACCGCCATGGTGTTGAAACCACATGTTGGCTCTTATATTCAGTGGCACATTTTGTAATAGTTCCGGTAGCACATGCTGTAAGGATCGACCATAAGCATGTCCATCCAAACGTGGTGGAAGCAGATATGGCCCGATGATATGCTCGTCCACAATGCCGCACCAGATGTTAATTGAAAACTGATGTTGGTCTCTATGGATGGCTATGGCATGAGGGTTTTCTTCATCCCAAATGTGACTGTTATGGCTATTAAAATAACCGTCCTTTGTAAAACAGGACTCGTCAGTGAACAAAACGTAGCGACCAAAGTTTGGTTGCCTCAACTCCTGCTGCAGCCACCAACGGTAAAAACGTCGACGCGGCAGATAGTCTGCTGGACCCATGGCTTGGACTTTTAAAAGGTGGTACGGGTGTACGATAACAAAAATGTAAACACAGCAGGCTTTTTTTACAAACCGGTGAGACCATGAAATGTGCTAGACGAACATTTTGCAGCTGGTGAATTTTTTGTTTCTCCTATGAGCTCTTAAGGTAAAATTAACTGTAGTGCTCAAACGGCATATTTACGAACAGGGGTTTATAAGGCAAAATTGCATATTTTTATGCCCTCTACAACCCCTATCATTTTGTCGCAATAATTATGGAACACCCTGTATATATATATAACATATCCTTTAATTTCTTTGGGTAGAAGGCAAAGTATTGCAAAAGTACACCCTTATAACTTGAACTCTCAAGCTTTCGAAGATCTATGCCTTCATCGTCTGGAGCTGGAAACAATTATTAACAATAGCAACAAATAGCAACTAGGAGAAAATGACTTACTCACTAAGTCGGCGAGATTGTTGCTGAAATTGTTTTTAAAACAATAGTGAAGGGAACACATAGTCGACGAATAAAATAATTTCAGTAATGTCTACTTAGGAGCGCTTGTATCAGATCCATTCACAAACATTGGGATATAATATGTCATCACTGCAGTCTAGCTCTGGAATCCCGTGTCACCATCTTAGAATATCTTTTTGATAACAATTATTTCGCTTTCAACAACAAAACCTATTCAGATATCTACACATTGTAGTATACAATGGCTAGAAGACCTCAAATTTTCAAGGCGATATCTAACCACTTCCCCTTTTTGTGGATTTTGTCCATTATTTTCCTATTTTTTGTTATATACGTTTCTTAGCATGATGATTTTAATCTATGTAATATAAATGTAATAGATTGATTTTGTGCGTTTAATTAATAATGTGGAAAAGATAATTATATGTTCGAGTTTTCTTAAATTACGTCATGCTTATATCAGTATTCGATATCCACTCCTATAAATCTATGTTTATTAATATTCGGTTTTTTCTAATATGTGTTGGTAAGTTACGATATAATTTTGGACCTCAGTAAATCAGTGAGTTCAATATTATTTCCTTTTTTAATGTTGCAATGATCCCTTGTTGATTTTTATTTCTAGTGTCATATTCATAATTTTTATAAATGGTCGAATGGAATTCTAAAATAATGTTACACCAAAATAATTTTTTTATATTCATAGGTTTTGATTCTACAAACAGCGATTTGGAGGGATATGATAAAAATTTGTTATGCATTGATCTTATGAATAATTTTTGTATTATTTGTGAAGTATTCATATGGTTGTTATTCGTGGATCCCCAGGTAATATTTCCATATGTTATGTGGCATTCAACTAATGTTTAACACAACAATTTTAATTGAGTTCCAGTCAAAATTTGTCTGTGATATCTGAACTAATAAAACGGAAATCTTCTTTGTAATATATTATCGAATGTCAGATGGTGCATGTCGATACGAGGTAGATACAATGCGACAGGAAACTCTAAACGCCTTCTCGAATCTTGCATTCGGCATTTTTCATACGAAAAAATCTCGTGAATCTAAAACCATGCAACAATAAATTACGCGTCTGAGACTTTTTCACCGTTCAGATGGCAATGATAAAACTGAGGTTTTCTTGAAAATACTATAAATTAGGCTGAAGCCGAACATTTGCGGCAAATCTTGAATACGTGATTTGCGAAACCTCCTCCCTAGTCTTGACTGTTTTGGATTTTATAAATTTGGGCATACGAAAGGAGTTTAATCTATGGTTTAATGGAGGAGATAATTAAAGAATCAACTACGGAATCAAAAGAAGGTAAAACTGAACCTAAAGAGTGCTAATTCCCCTTTGTTCTACTTTTATCCTGTAATTTCGAAATATAATGTTCAAAAACTTACTAAAACTACTAAAGCGCTTTATGCCTGCTTAGACTGGGCTCTATAGCCTAGTGCAGTTGTTTCTACCTTTCGATCATGAAAATTCCCCTATTTTGCTGCAAAAGAGGAAAGTGACGAAAGGATGCTTATGGTTCTGGTACTACTGTAGAGTTCTTGGGTAGGTATACAGTGGTTTTCATAAACATTCCTCATTAGTTATTCATTGTCGGAAAGTTCCAATTCGATAAACAAGAAATTTACGTTGACGAATAATACACTTTAACGTGAAAATAGCTGCAAATTTCAAAATCACGGCCTGACCCCGTGGTGTACATTTTATTTGAATGAAATGAGGAGCCATGTGGTTGCTCATTTTGAAGGTCCTGATGATTACTTCATAACCCTGGAATATAAAGTCACAAAAACAGCCGTACATGGTTGGCTGCCTTTTAGTTGGATGGACGAAAGTATCATGTTTAGTTTATTCAACAGCAAGTAGTACTTTACGGCCAATATCATCATCCATCTAGTGGTTACGCTTTGACCGGCTATTAAACGTGAACTGGAGTCCTTAACAGCTAAAATCTAATAGCAGCTATGCGATCTTCGCAGTCGTCGATTCTGGTCATAGATAAAGCTTTCCGTTGCCTTATTTCGATGGACTTATTACAGCTTAACAACTAATTATAAAAACGTCATATATGATATGTAAATCTCCTTTTGAAAGGTCTATCTCTGTACGTGTATACAAGAAAATCTGAAACATTTAGTTTAAAAAATCTGACAGATTCTGACAATTTTTTTAAATATTTCACATATTCGGATAGACTGTTCCAGATAGAAAGATTCATATATTTTTTGATTATTGGTTGTTACCAGTAATAGGCGACTCCATATACAAAAACGCTCTACTTTGACAGCCTACCAGCTCGCCAATTTGAAAGATGGTGATTTTACATTCATAAAGTACTCATAAGGAGCTTGAAAATGAGATGTCATACGAGCCTCTATCAGAAATATAAGAGAGCAAGCACTGTATGTATATTGGATTAGATCATATAACAGATATTTTTTGAGCTCATACCTTCTAATTCCTTAATTCTGGACGAAAGATCTCCAACCCACTGCGCCAAAGGCAACAAACTTGGATATGCTTTAGAAGCCCACGAATCTGGTACATTGTCCATGAACAGAGATTGGTCCAATTCTTCCATATCACTTGTTATAGTGAGCTCTCCCTTCAAACCTAAATCAGAACAATCTTTTTTTTTATATCGAAGCAGCCGCGCAGGCAGAAGCCTAAATGCCGGAACACCGCGGCTGCTATGATGATCCCAAAGAAATTTTATTAATACGATTTTTGAACTGCCTAAGGTAAATAGAACTGGGAAAAGCTTCCTCTTGTAGAATGTTCCACAACCTCGACACCCTCGGGACAAAGGAGCGGTCGTATCGGCCGGTTCTGGATGTACGAAGTTCGACACGGTTAGGATGGGACGCCAAAGTTAGGCGGGTCTGTCTGGCAGGCACATCGCGCGACGGCATCATGGAAGAGAGCTCCGAGGAGCAAAGCCCATTGGAGTAACGGTAGAAAAGAGCCAGATCGCCGAGAGCCCGCCGATGCGAAAGAGTCCCGAGACTGTCTGCTAGAGAAGAGTCATCGATCAGTCGGACCGCCCTCCTCTGGACCGCATCGAGCATGGATAATGTAGTCGGGGCGGCAGCACCTCAAACGTGCGAGCAATACTCGAGGCTATGCCTTGTCTGGGTTTTGTATAGAGTGAGAAGGTCATGCGGAGAAAAGTACTTCTTAGCCCTAAACAAATAGCCTAGCTTTTTTCCAGCAGCTGCAGCTATTGACGAGATGTGTTCGTACCAGATGAATGGCTCTTTGGCAGAACTCGACCATCCATCGACACCGGGTGAGCGCAGGGACGCTTTTTGTTCGTCTGCGTTTAGGAAGCATTGAACTGCACAAGATTGTTGCGTCCCCAAGCAGTGATAGCCTCCAGGTCTCTTGTCAGAGAGAAAGTCATCGCTAGTCTTCTTTTTTTCAACTCAGCGGCAGAATCGGCTTGTCACTCTGAATTCCTGCATCTAGAATGCTGTCATCAGAGAAGCTGTGAATTGGGTTGATCGTGCAGGAAAGGAGGTCATTGATATGCAAGAGAAACAGTGTCGGAGCCAAGACCGATCCCAGGGGAATTCCCGCGTTGACGTTGTGGGATGAAGAGGAGAACCCGTCAATTTCGACGAATATCTTGCGGCCAGAGATAAAGTCAGCCACTCATCTGCAAAGCTTTTCTGGGAGGCCATAGGATGGAAGTTTGCTTAAGAGGACAGCGTGCCTCAGCTGATCGAACGCTTTCGTGATGTCAAGAGCAACGACATGAGCCTCACCATAAGACTGGATGAGTTTACTCCACAATTGAGTGACATAAGCTAGGAGGTCCCCTGTGGATCGTTGGTGCCGGAAACCATACTGCCTGTCGCTGATCAAGCCGTGACATTCGAGGTAGTCCAGAAGCTCGCGATTTATGCACCTCTCCTTCACCTCACTTCAAACAGAAAGCACTAGGCACTTTCACCGTGTGAGGGATGTATTCCTCCATTCCGACGTGGATAATTTCGGTTATCGAAGAACAGACAGCCGACGCATCCGCGTCAGTGAAACAAACATCTTTCCAAGGAAAGCTAGAGAAGAAGTCGCTCAGCCCCTCCCAATCCGCATGGCCGTAATGCCAAGTTTTGCGGCCTGTACGAGTTTCTGCTGCCACAGCGGGTTCTGACCGAAACCTAGCCTCCACAACACCGTGGTCTGAGTTACCCAGGGGGGACAGCAGGACAAGACAGCAGTGCTGTAAGGGGCAGGATGCGTGGTCAGAAAGAGATCCAGCAGGCTACTGGCGTGTGACGAGACGCGGGGGAAAAAAGTAGGACTCGTCACCAGCTGAGTCAGCCCTTGCGTAAGAGCGAACGCTTCGAGTGCACGACCTGCTGCGTCGGTCTTGTTTGAGCCCAACCAAAGCTCGTTATGGGCATTGAAATCACCGAAAAGAACTACCTCTGAAGCGGGATGATTGATGTTCAGGAAGTCGATCTGGACGGCGAGGTATTCGAGTAGGTCATCCCAGTTATGGTCCGAGGGAGAGCGATAAAGGCAGCAAATGAACTTGGGTGATGTTTTGGAGTTGAGGCGAAGCCACAGAATGTCCTTCTCAGATTGGAGTGCACCTCGGAGTTTGGGAAGTTAAGATGGTTAATCGGTGCTGACTCTGAGATTGTTGTCTCCACCAAGAAAAACACGGCGGGACGATTGGATTGCAGGTAGTGATGAACAGCATCAATGTTGCTTTTAATCCCGCAGATGTTCGAAAAACAAATTTTATCTTCGATGTTGTTCCCTCGAGCCCACCATCCACCCGGACATTCCGAGAGTGGAGTGAGTTTACGTCCGGAGTTCTTAGTAATCGAGGGATCCATCATCATTAATTTCTTGGTTTTGGAGGATAACCGACTGCATAGCTCAGGTGTGGAGACATGCGGACATCTATAAGACACCCTGGGAAAAGCTAGCGGGTGGTACTGCCTCGGTCGACTGGTCCTTGTCTACCACCTTCTTTTTACGTGTTAGTAATGTTAAATAGACCTAAAGTGGCCCGTTAGCGGACTTGTACCGCCACCCGGCAATCGGTACTGAGGTATTCCTTAACGCGTGGACAATCACTTGAACGGGAAGAAGTCGTATACTGGATACAACAACTTCCGGAACAAGCATTTGCCACGGCCCCCACTCAGTAGGGCTTGAGGGACTTGAGGTAATCAGTGAAAATATTCGATATTGAACATAACTTGAAACTTGTTTATCCCCAGAAGATGCTTACATATTGGAACACGATCCTATAGATAGGAAACATTCAGAAATGACGTTGACCCAGATACCTTTCAAGCTCAATTGAAAGTCAACTCAAAAATTTATATAAAATGAAACCGGCCCGCAAGTGGAAAGAACGAAAAAGTATGCTTGTTTGTGACTTTCACTTTAAAATTAGTTAATCTCTAAACAAATTTGAGTTCATGGTCAAGCTCATTTCAAAACGTAAAGTTTTCGGCTCATTCCGTATACAGTTCTCTCCAACCGTGAATGCCATTTTCAAGATGACGGCTGTAGCCACTTCCGACTTGACCATTTTTTTTTACTGAGATAGAATTAGGCCGACATCATTTGGACACCACGTATGTTCTTACCTAGGTCAAGTTCTTTCAACGACCTCTTCATCTCATTGGTTAAATTGTTCATTCTTTCGCATTCTTGGAAAGCGACTATAATGTACGGATTCCTGTCTTCAACCTTCGCCATCATTTCAGCTACTGGAAACCGTTCCGGCAACTTGTCCATTATCTCCTCTATCGTACTTCTCACCTAGTTTCAAAACAGTAAAAGTTTCTTACTTGTTTGCAATATCAGAAGACGTTTATAAACAAACAACGCATATGGCTAATGTTTGTTAAACGAGTGGATTTTACGTGCAGCAGCATAGGTTCTGGCATAGTCAGCACCGATATGATCAGAGCTGTCGACGTGTCTCTTGAGCCTCACGCAATGACAGACCGGGTCGGACAGTTTTAAGCCCTGTTAGCTACGTTGACCGAACTATCTATGGAGAGTTATAAAAATGCAGTGAGATGCCCCCCCTCTTTTTACTCTGAATTAAATTATTCTGTTAATAACTTAAATTTTATTATAATTTTATTTTGAGGTCATTAATTATGATTGATTATTCGACCATCTACTACTGTAATATAAACTCTTTGTAATTAGAAAATATTTTCTACTTTTTAGTTCGGTCAGCTGTAATAGCGTGTTTTTTAAAACTATTATTTATTTTTCATCTTTTAGTCCGATTTGTCAATTAGTTTTTTGTGGACATGTGGTATTGAAATGTCTTACGATTCATTTCGCAATGTAATCATTTCATTCAAAGCTTCACTATTTGGGGTTTTTTCTGATGACTTAGAGCAATCAAGCTCTTCAGTCAGAATACCGTCTAAAGATCTTACTCGACTGAGTACTAGATTAGCTTGTCCAGCAGCACCCGCGAGCCTAGATAAATGACTGCAAGATCAACTGTACAACCTTCCATCTTGTGGACGGACGAAACCCAACTCAGGATTAATGGAAACATTCGCAATGACTAAAGTGCTCTACCTTGGAAAAGTATCTACCTCCATTGTGCTGTGCCGAGAACCCAAACCAACAAAGAGTTAGTCCGAAACTCCACGCATGCGCAGATCGCGCGCTCTATCTGTCTTACAGAGGATCAATAAAATAATTTATCAATCCTAATAAGGATAATGGATAACTATTATCAAATTATCGCATCTCCGTCGGTCCTTGATACGGAAATTGGTGAAATTTACAGGCCAAGCTAATAAAAGCATGTTAAAAAAAAAACAACTTCAGTGAAGCTACGACGTCTTCAGTGAAGCTACGACGTCTTCAGTGAAGCTACGACGTCCCTTATTCTTATAGTCCAGAAATTATTGCATGGATTCTAAAACAATTTTATACAAAGATACTACTATGTCAATAACGGAATACCCTAAATGATTTCAGCAACACAGGCGCAGATACAATTAAAACGGGAAACTTAATATTTAGCCGAGTTGCTGACTATTTTTTGATGTAGCACAGAAGTTCGTAGACACCTAACAAACTGCGAGAAATTGTTACTTCACGTTTTTCTACTTCGTGGTTATCTCGTACTACAGTTGAAATTAATATAGGTTGATCAATTCGAGTCTAACGAAATTTGAAAAATTTGATTGCTTAGCAGTAATTTGTAGGAAGGGTGTACACGTAAGTATGAATACTAATGGGGAGTACTGTAGTTACGTACCCTTTTTTCTATTCACTTCTTATATAATTCTCGAACCAAATTTGAAGTTTCTTCTGTTCGGAGAATTGTGTGGCCATAAACAAAAAACAGTTATTTTCGATACGATTGCATAGTGGGTACACATAAGCATACATTATAAGTATAGTCTTCTTAATGTTTATGCATCATGCATTCTACAAATTACTTTACTACCACCGGTCGCGAGTCGATTCTGCTACTAAATTATTCCCTTATATCCGACAAACAATTTATCATTATTAATCAGTCAGCTGATGTTTTTCTATTTTATCGAAGGTGCGAGCAGCGATCGATCCAATTCACTCCGCTCGCGCCGAAAAGACATGTGTAAGTGTGTAATTTTTAAAATTAGTGGAATGAGGATGCCCTTACGTTGATTACGTTAGGCAATAAGGAGGCCTTAGACGGACAACGCGACCTTTTTCTTTTGAAAAATATTTATTAACTTTACTGTCATAATAAGGAAGCTTCAAGTGGGGCAACGATCAATCAATTTGGCCCTATTTAACAGGCTTCTCTGAATTAATAACATAAAATTGCGCTTCAGAAAATAAAATGTCTGAATCGATTTTATCTCTGGAAAATGTAGCTGAAAATTAAAAAAGGCCGAGGGAAATTGGCTGCACAAACAATGTGGGAAGCCTTTTACGATGTTACGGCCTTGTAAAAATATTATCTTCAGTCAATTAGGGTGATAACGTTGAATTGTTTAAGGATTGGTGGAGAAAAAGCGAATATCTGTAGTTTTTGATGAAAGCTTAATTATTTTCTTAATTCTTATTTAGAATGAGGGTGATACTATTATGGCATCAAATTCTTCTTCTTCTTTCGCTTGGCAGCCTTCAAATACCTTTTTTTCGAAAGAACTTTTTGTTGGGGCTTAAATCATTGTCATTAATGGTCTTTTGGCGTCGATTTTGAGCATTCCTCATAATTATTCTCGTTTGAGGGGAACTCAAAGCTTTCTTGATTAGTAGCAGTAGTAACACTAGTAACAGTAGTGGTAGTAGTAGTAGTAGTAGTATGCCACTATATTTTATTGGAATTGTAGTTGTAGTAGTAGTAGAAAGATTTATTTAGCACATTTGGCTACATAAACAGAATAATAATTGTAAACAACTTAGAACTAGTAAATTCAAGCCATATGGTGTATGATGTAAATGCTGGGCAACCTATAATTGTACATTTAACAAGTGATTTCTCAATTTTACTTTAAATTTTGTCAAAGTTTTCTGGTCTTTAATCTCCGAGTATAATTTATTATATTCAATCAACCCTTGATGGAATACAAATTTGTAGCATATGTTATACTTTTTGGTCATTAAATGGAAGTCATCTTTATTTCTGGTATTATGTAAATGATGGTCGACATTTTATGATGTTAAATTAGTTAGACTTGATGGAAATATATTATTTTTTACTTTATAAATGAATATCATTACAAGATATTTGACAAAATTTTTTACATTGAGCAATTTTAATTTGCTAAGCATTTGCCTAATTGGAGTATATTTATCTTTATTTAGTATTATTCTCATGCACTTATTTTGTAAAATTTGCAGTCTTTCAAAAATGGAACTATTTGCTAAATATAAAGTAGTCGAACAGTACAAGAAATCTGGAAGAATGATGGTCTTATAGATAATTTTTCTGCTATATGAACTCAGACATCCAGAAACTCTCGATAAATATCCCACTTTACTACTAATCTTATTTATAACTTTTTCGTAATGAATATCAAAAATTAATCGAGAGTCAACAAAAACCCCCCAGGTATTTAAAATTTTCTGCGAATTCAATATCTTCACCATCAATATTCAGTTGAACATTTGTACATTGTTTTTTTTTTCCGATTAACAAGGCTTTCGTTGCTAACCATTTTGAGACAAGCTTCAAGTCTTCATTTATATAAGAGATACTAGACTGAATATTTTTAGTACTTATATAAATCATTGTGTCATCGGCGTTTTTTTGACTATGGCAGGTAAATGATTTATGTATAAAATAAAAGGAAGTGGTCCCAGGATACTGCCTTGTGGAACACCAAACGTATTTTCAATTTTTGATGAAATAGTGTCATTAACTTTTGTAACTTGCATCCTTTTAGACAAATAATTTCTAAACCAATCTAAAACACTTCCTGTTATACCATATGCCTTCAATTTACCTAACAAAATATCTCTATCAATCGTTTCAAATGCCCTCTTCAAATCTAAAAATACTGCTATGACAACTTCTTCTGAGTCTATGGCTCTTCTCCAATTCTCAGTTACCAACTGGAAAGCTGTTTCTGTGGAATATTTTTTTCGCTTGCGCCTCCACTAAAATTTTGTTTTCTTCTATAAACTGCATTAATTGATCATGCACTATGGACTCTAATAATTTTTCAATGTCTGGTAACACTATTACTGGTCTCATATCGCTGCATCTTTTAGAATTTTTTATTTTGGGAACTGGTGTTATTGTATTTCAAATTTTCAGGAAAAGAGCTGCTTCTCAGCGAACAATTGATCCAATTTAATACAGGATATCCCAAAATTTCGAAAGAGTTTTTCAGCACGTTTTTAGTAGTGATTTCGGCACAGTTGTTATTTGATTTTAAACTGTTTACTTTTTTTCTTAGATAATTCAATGATACGCTGTGAAATTTTGAAAGTGTATGCAACATTTCCCCCTGGAAACTGATTTTCATATGGTCAGGTGCAGCATTCGCTGTACCCACAATATCAACAATACTTTCCACAAAATATTCATTTAGTTTGTTTGCACTCACCAAAGAATTTGTTTCGGTACCGTTTTTGAATTGAACTTGATTTACACAATCATGCGGCTTCGAATTGATCAGTCTTTGTAAAGTCTTCCACATCTTTACACTGTCGCACTTGTTATTATCGATTTGTTTATCGTAGAATTTCCTTTTTTCTTCTCTAATTACATATACACATTTATTCCTAAGAGTTTTATATACTTCCCAATCATCATTTGATTTAGTGAATATACATTTATTGTATTGTATGTCTCTCAAATTTTGAGCTGCCTTAATATTCTTGTATACCAGGGTGTATTTTTTGTCGAGCAAATCACTTTTTTATCAGTTGCAAGATCTAAACAAGTTATCATATTTCCTATCATGTTGTCATATATTTTTTAGCCAGCAAGTTCTCATTCAAGTTTTTCGTACTTAATAGTATTTACGATTTTCTTAATTTTTGTATCAGAAAAATGCCCTACCAAGGGCAGCATTGTCCAACTGTGATGGCTAACTTTAGGTGTATGTACAGCTTTAATCCCTGCACATTCGAAATTTACAATAACAAGATCTAACAAAGTCTTTGATAATGATGTTATTCTGGTACTCTCTTCAATTTTTTGCTCGAACCCATAGTTGTTTATGGTTTCTTTCAATTTTCTTGTTTTCATGCTTTTACCGTAATAATTTAAATTAAAATCACCTAAAAGTATTATATTGTTTCTAAAATTCCACATTTCTTCCCACTTTTCTTCAAAAAACGTTAAAAATGTATCCGCATCACTGTTTGGTGAACGGTAAAAAGTACAAAGATCATAACGTTTCCCAAATAATTTGAACTGTATATGTGCATACCAGTATGCATAGTCTAAAGTGGTACAATCGA